CCAGCCTGGGTAACAAGAGTGAAACTCCGTCTCAAAAAAAAAAAAAAAAAAATTTAGAATAATCTTTGCCAAGAGAAATATCGAACATACTGTTTTCTAGACAGAGGATTAAAATCAACGTTTCTGATGTTGCTCGAGCTGTAGACAAAAGCATAAAATTGTGCCTTCCTTACTCTACACGGGAGGAACATTTCTTAAGCCTGTATGGAGTTTTCTCCCATGTGAAATATCACCAAATACCCAGAAACCCAAAGGCCTCCTTTGTCTCAATGCCTATCCAGAGGGAGGTCTGATGGATCAAGATGGCCAGCATGCTATGACAGGCTCTAAGATGTGGGAGCAACTGGACCTGGTTGGGTGATTTATAGGCGGAAATTGGACCCGGGGCCTGGAGACCCCGGCTAGAGAGTTCAATAAAGATGCTCGAGAGTTTCAGCAGGTGAGTAAGATGCTCCTCCTTCCGCACAGCACCGAGAGCAAGCTCCTGGCAAAGCGGCAAGGCCCACTCGGAGAAGTCTGGAGAATCGGTCCATTCGATTACGACGTCCTGTGCCCAGATAAACAAGAAAGAGAAAAGGAGTCATCATGTCAACTGCTGGAAAGCCTGTTGGGCACAGGAAGTGGTCTCCATCACCCAGCTGGAGGAGGTGTGGATATAACTTTGCAGGCCCTAGGGACGAGCCCCTGCCAGGCGGCGGGGAAGACTGCACTCTCAGAAGATGACTCTGGAGAGATTCCCTCCCCCTTGTTGGGGAGAACGTCGATGGGAGCCCACCGTGTCAAGAAAGGACCCCGGTGAAAAGCTGAGAAAAGATCCTGGAGGATCCCAAGACAGCACCAGCAGGAAAAACAAAAAGGAGAGCCAACCGAAAGCGAAAAGGAAACCCCAGTGTGGAATCATTTCATACGTAGAAGGTGGGTAAAAAAGAAGACTATTTGAGGTAGTCACAGGCCCTGATGATTCAGTATCAAAGGATGTGATTCTATCAAGATTGGAGCTTTGTATTTTAACAGATGGTCCATATTCAAAACAGCCTGGCCCAGGGCATTACTACTTTTTCAATGGCAGTCTGTGGGCATAAGCCATCATCATCCAACACTTCAGCATTACAGTTTCTCTTATTCTGAGGAGCCCCAACCCAGACTTAGTCAACGCTTGCAGTTGCCAACGTACAACTGTTTCTCAGGCCGTATGTTCCCTGCTCCACCAAAACTGTTCTCCTGCAGCTGGAACTCAGCCACTTTGTCTGTAACAGCAAACCACCTCAGCAACACTAGCGTCAGAAAAGGGACTTGAATTACTCATAGTGCATCATTGCAAGGAGAAAAACACATGCATTCTAGTCTCACATGCATACAAAAATCACTGTTAACCTTCATTTCATTAAGAAGAAGAAGAAGAACTCAGAGTCTGTGAAATCCTTCAGACATCAATTCAAGAATTTCATTTCCCTATCTGTTAAGAAACTGTACTGAAGACTAAAACTTTAGATAATTCTTAAATACTCCCAAACTTAAAAAAAAAGTTCCCTACAGATTCTTGTTGTGCAACTTGTGGATTCATTTAAGATGTGGATACCCCCTTCCTATTCTTCAGTTTCCATCAAGGTCAGTAAGTCAATTCCAAAGACAGGATTTAATAGTTCAGTGTCATCAACCTGTCCCAATGTGCTGTTAATGAAGCTAATTATCTGAGTCTGTCCTGACACTAAGCCATCAACCAGCTTTTACTTTTAATTGTAGAACAGACTCTCTCATTTGATACTGAGGTGGTCCTTTGTTAGAAAATCTGTGGCAGGATTTCTTAAAATATGATGAGAAGGCCATAACTGTTCGAAATGCATATTCCTAGGACTATAGCCAGAAATCTCTCTGTGTCTGGCGGTAAAAGCTCCTCAGGCAAGAGCCACTACCCTTGGACTTTTCTTTCCATGACAATCAGGGACTTTATTCACAGCTATGCTCTTCCCCGGAGATCAGTGTCAAATTCTAGCCTTCAGAAAAGTCAAACCACGAGCATCTCATTCCCATAGTCCTGATCTTACCAATATTATACCTAAGATTCTGGTTTGGTGTGCCCCACAGAGGAGTCTAACTAAAGCATTAAACTCAGAAGCATATATGAAAAACGAAATGAGATAGTGTAAAATGCATTATAGCAGCTCTTTCAAAAACTTGAGTAGCAGGCCAGGTGTGGTGGCTCACAACTGTAATACTAGCATTTTGGGAGGCCAAAGTGGGAAGATCACTCGAGCCCAGGAGTTTGAGAGCAACCTGGGCAACATGATGAAATCCCATCTCTACAAAAAACAAAACAAAACAAAACAATCAGTGGGATGTGGTGGTGCACACCTGTAGTGCTAGCTACTAGAGAGGCTGACACAGGAGGATCACCTGAGCCCAGGAGGCAGAGGCTGCAGTGAGCCATGTTCATGCTACTGCACTCCTGCCTGGGTGACTGAGTCAGATCCTATCTAAAAAAAAA